CCACCATTGCCTTTCCCTTGCAGTGTCAAACTCATTCAACTAATTGTCTCAAAAAACCAAACTGCACTAAAACCCAAAGGATTTCCTGTGTATACCAATACATTTTATGTTTAGTTGAGGAGCCTACTAAGTGATAACTATTTAGTATAACTTAGACAATACTTTTTCACGTAAATCCGTGTAATAATCTATGAAATTGTAAGTACAGATCACTATAATTCTTGACATTTTTAAATCCTTGTCTTGTTCTTAACTTTGTAAAATATTAGCAGCCAAAAAAAAACTACGTAAAATATTATTTATTTTAAACTTCTTTCATATCCCTAAGACCAAAAATAAAACTTATTTAGTGCTATTAAGAAAACATGAGTTTCCTAGTAAAGCCCCCGGTCATATGGTAGAGGAAAGTTAGAATAGTCTAGCGAACTTTATGCGAGATATGATAATTCTACAGTTTGCAGTTACTGACAAATTTGAAAATCGCTGAACACCAATAACTAAATTCGCGCACGTGAACAGAGGCATGTCAATGTACCATGAATACATTTCTGAACTCAGGTTATAACTTTAACCAAAATCACTGAAATTTGAGAAGAAACAATGGACAAATGAGCTATACACGAATAGAATAATCCTCGCAACTCACCCACAATCTTCTATATTAAATAGAAAATCTATAGTAAGCATACACATCTCAGAAACCGAAAAATACGATGCCACTAAGCATAAACCACTTATGTCTTGAGCAAATGTAATGCGCCTGCCGAGAATATCAGCGTTTTTTGCTGGCAAACACACGCTAGAAAATCAAAACAACACTCAGCCAAACTAGGGCACGTGACTGAAATATAACTAATGAACTCAACATTACACAACATTAACGGGTTGCATAGGCGCCATTCTTTGAGTTTTGCACCTGCAAATGACGAGAATTGATTATTCAGTGAGGCGTGCAAAGAAAATGTGAACACGGTTGATGGCTTCATAATATAATGACTTGATGACAGGAATAATATTGTCTTCATTTAAAGGGCACTCAATCTGCTCCTTCTAAACATAAAAAACCATGTGAATGAGAGAATGACCTGTTACACTGTAGTCTGGAAGCATAATTATGATTGTTGCAATTTGTGCACATCCAATCTCCAGTACGCCATTGCTTTGCTCTATTAGATCCAATAGGTAAAAATGTATTTAAATTGTGAGCCTAGGAATGTATGATAGCATCTCTAAAGTGATTAGATGTGCAATAATAAATATATACATGTCTTCATTCTTCACTCTACAACAATATTACTCAAAGGTCGGGGGAAAGGAATTAGTTACCCTTTTCCAAGGAGGGCAGGTGAAGAAACTTGAGGTGGGAGCAGCGTGGCCATTGGCAGATTTGGAGCTGTACTTGAGTTCATGCTGGGATAAGAGGGGAAGACTCCAGGTTTTGGATCTGCACCTGTCCCTACCACTAGATCTAAACTTGTATAGGTTTGCTGCTGATCATTTGTCTGTAAAACAAGAGAGAGACTGTAAGAGGATTTAATGACTATCAAAATTGAATTTTAAAACCACGGAAGTGGATCAGAAATTAAATAAGAAACAAATTCCTTACAGTTCCTACATTCAATCTCTTGTTGTCCCAATCATAAACCAACTCTTCAGAAGCCAACCGCTTTGTCCCAAGTGCTTTATACCAAAATAGTAGAAACAGTGATAAGTTTAACATCAATTGCTACAAATTAGAAATCATTCTCGGTATCAAATAACCAAAAATACTCTTATGAATGCAATGAGCCCCAGGAGGATAATCTATAGGACAACAGAGCACCATAAGAGGATATGTTCTAAGACTTGTGCATTTTCACATAGTATCTGTTGACAGAAGACACAGCTTAGGCATTTTGTACCTACAGGGCTACAATCTATATACCAAAGAAGGAAGACATACCAGGTGGAAAAGCATTGCATTTTTTACACTGCAAATAATTTCAACACTGAATCAGAAAAATAATGAATACTCCAACTCTTGTAGACTGTATAGCTCAACATCATATACAAGCAGAATTCAAGGCATACCTGAGAGCGTGACGAGTAATTGTGGAAGCCACAGTTACAGATCCAGTCCCCATTGCGCCATCCCTTTGGAACAGATAGGTTCTGACTGGTGGAATTTTCATGATGATGTCCAGAGCCATAATTCCCACCTGGTAGCCATATGGAAACTGGATGCGGCTGGAAACCATACTTATCTGCTCCGGGAACAGGCCAATTGGGGTTTAAATGCAGTGATTGTGATGGCCCACCATTGCCGATCAATCCAATATTCATCTTTTGTTCTGGTGCTCCCGGGGCCCTGGAAAAATAATGTGAATAAGTGGGGAAAGATGCTCCGGTCATTGCAATTGCTGGCATGGCTGCTACCTCCTTCGGTTGCCCGCACTTCTTGCACTTCTCTCTTGATGCATAATTGTTGTTAGTGCAACCTATTTGTTCCAATCCATACAAACCCAGACCCCAAAGCAGCCAGAGGCAAAGGAAGCCAAGCATACGCACACCAACACGTCCAACGCACACCAACCCGTCCATCCCACACAAAATACACATACAAAAAGCACAAACATCTCAACCTAGGTGATAGCAAGTTCTTCATTTCAATTTGAAACAGAAGATCATAAACCAAAATCAAATGCCAGCTAAAGTTGGGCATCTTTAAATAATTAATATCAATCAGGCGGGAAAACCCAAACATGTATAAAATAGAGCTCAATGCATTGTGGCATATCTCTGTCCTTGAGTACTAAGGTCTTAAAATGGAACACACAAAGCTGGAATACTAAGAAAATTTCACTATGGACCAGTTTGAATAATTATCTCAATAAGCACTCATTGGAGAAAAAAGATC